ATAATACTTGTGTGGTGTAGAAGTGAATCATTTACTGCTTGCAAACCAATGATGGTAAGATGATGTCATGGGGTAGGACTGGATAAGTCTGACTTCTTCCTACTCCATTCAAGCATGTACTAGGTATAAGCAAATTGATATTGGATTAGCATTTGTTGGATATGTGTAAAATTATGTGTGTTGATATATCAACTGTCTTTACATGCTTGAAAGAATAAATAAATCAAATCAAATAATGCATTGCAAAAGATAAACAGAGGAGTTGCACTCAAGTGGGAGGGGCTATGTACAGTAGTGCATACTGTATGGATTTGACACATACTACACGTCTTTCAAAGTCCATGTCCCCAGTTAATAACAGGCTTTCTGTCGCAAATTTGTAGTTTCAAAACTCTGGGATAACCCTGATGACATTACCAGAGTTATTTTCTTTGGGCTGGAAAAAGCTCTTCCAGAGCCACAGAAGATTTAAAAAGGTATAGCTGTCATAGGCCACATAGCACTAGTCATTATTAGTATAGACAGATAGGATAACGTATGCATCGGAAAACTATACGACTTAATAAAGGTGTTGTCATGTGCAAATACAAGACATGGAAGAATGGAGATTTCTGAATGATTTAATACCGTTTGAAATACATGAAGAACACCATTAGAGAAACAATAATGAGATACAGGAGTGGACACTGTAATGCTGTTCAAACACACCTTTTAAGTAGAAGACTAAAGAGCTCAATTAAATCCACTGCTCCAACATGTCAGTTAAAACCTAACCAGACCACAAGGAGAAAAGTATAAAGTGCAAAGATGTTACAGTGTGCTGTGAAGAAATTTAGTGAGAAGGTACATTTGTCTGCTTGATACTATGCATGTAGAGGTGTGAACAAGTACATATGAGCTGTATAATCACTTATAGACATTTCCATCAATTGTTAGTTGTGCTTCATCACAACATTGCGTGGGTCTGACAATATGAGTAACTATGAAGCAGCTGGAGCAGCTCTTCAGCAACATATACAATTATTCTAGAAGCAAACATTGATGTGCTCCTCTACCCCAAGTATGTTGATGGCTGTGCCACAATCTTTGCTTTTAAGGAAGGGGATAACACTCAATAGTGCCTACACACTGTGTCAGCTATCAACAACAGCACTTTCTCAAAAACTGAAAAGTTTACAAAAGTAAATGCTGTATGTAACAGCAGTCATTCTGACGTGTCCACTGAAACATAACAAGGCGAAACATCATCAAGAACATATAATACAAATTACACAGAATTGTACACTGTTGTGTTTTAAGTTGTCAACTAAAATATTATTACATAACAACACAAATAAGTTAAGAATCATCTGGGATAACACCCCCTGATGGACACCACCATGTTAAATAATATCTTATCCAGTAACACAGCTTTCTTAAATGAAGTAGAAAGTAGAAAACAGCTACCTAAGTCAAATCATGTACAAAAGAACTGCAGTGCATACATCATATGATCTAAATTAAAAATAGATTGTAAACTGCTACAAAGCAAAATGCACCCAAGATAACACATGCAGTCTTGTTCATTTTGTGTGTCTACTACCGATTTAAATTTCTTTTGATTATCATAAATGTGTAAGGAAGTTCTGAATAAATATCTGCCTGCAATGCATTCCAGTCATCTAAGTGTATTTTATTTTACAGACTGATTGTGCAAATGCAATTCCCGACTTGGGCTCTTAGATTGTTTCATCATATTAGTAGTGATGAATATTTAATTTGTCTTTTTGATTTCAGATGCTGCTACTACAACATTTTTTTTTAGATCACCATCATCTTGGGCTAATTTCCACTGCTTCAGCCAGCTATCTTCAGACCAAAGCACTCCAGTGCCAAGACAGTTAAAACTCAGATACTTGTGTAAGGGGGCACAGTGAACAGGTTTACATTGCAGCCAAAGGCACCATTAGTAGGTCTACATTACCAATAAGGCTCATTTATTATTAGAACCTAATCACCTTTATTTGGCCCAGTATGTTACACACAAGGAATTTGTTTCCGGTACAGAACCGATGACAGCCATCTGCGGCGCCAGCTCTGGCCCTCCAGTCGGGAGACGACTGCTCTACCCACTGAACCACAGTCGCACCTAATTTAATTTAGAACAATCCTTTGCTGCTGACACGTAATTGCTAACCATAATCCAACCTGAAAGAACTGGTTGCTTGCTTCTTTTTTTTGTTTGTTTGTTTAAGGTGTACTGGTAAAACACACTGGAAACGCCCTTAGAAGCGTTTTCTACACGTGTCTCACGCTGCAGATAGAATTCCATTATAATCAATAAATCGATCAGCTACATAAAAACAAAGTTTCTTCCTGATGATCTTACATAAAAATCTTAACGTATGTTAAACTGTGTGTTATTGTGCGGTTTTATTTTTATGTGCACTGATCTTATTTACTCTATTTTAGTCATTTATTGTGATTTTATTCTGCCATGTAAAGTACTTTGGTCAGCTGGATGTTGTTTTTAAAGTGCTAGCTAAATAAATTTGATTTGATAAACTATTTTTCCAGTACACGTGTTGTTGGTCAGTCCGGATTAGATTCTTTGCCCCACTGCTGTCCGACAGAGAGCTGATCTGACAACTTAAACACTCAGAACAAGCCATTCATGTCTCACTTTCAGTGTGGATTGAATGGAATCACACTTCAGTAGCACTTAAGCGACGCTTAGGTCTTCCTTCCAGTGTGTTTTACTAGTTAACTCTGCGATAAATGTCACATATGAGCTGTTCTGAGGATGTGGCCACATACTATAATGTTTAACTGGCTCTGGATTTTATGCAGTGATAATGGCAGTCATACCTAAATACAATACACATTTCAGCATAAATGTAAATGTAAAACATGGATAATTTTTTTTTTTTTTAATGAATTTTTCCTATGGAGATTTACATGGGAAAAAAATATAAATGCTCTTTACAACGATGGTGCTGAAGTATGAGGCTGAAAGTAGAATCTGTGGAAAGTTTAGGATATGATACAGCCTGTGTCCTTCTGAGGCTTCAGATCTGGCTCCTTCATTGGTCTCACCTCTTCCTCCTTGGGTTTGGCCTGGAGTTAAAACAACATTTTGGTTTTGTGAATGTTTGTACTGTCATGCAGTCTACTGCACATTTTGCCTGTGTACCTTTTGATAGTTTGATTTCACCGCCAGGAGGATGCCAGAGAAAATGAAAACCCTGAGCCGTTTCTTTGTTTAATTGATAAAACCAATAAAACAGGATAACGGAAATTCTCTTTTTTCTGCTTGCATAATAAATATTAGTGGATTTTTTTGTTTTGTTTTTCACGTGTAGCTTTGGTCGATTACATTTTCTGCTCACAGAAAGAGAAATGAGAATTAAGTTTTGAACAGATGAATAACCACGAAGATAGTCCAATTTTACTCAATAGTGTCAGAAAAGAGAAATATAAGACATATATTTTCTGTTCCCAGGTGAGGGGAGCGGAAGGCAGGGCTTTCAGCTGACATTGCATCCTATTTCAAAATAAGAGTTTGTTATATCCTAATAAAGATTTCTGTAGCGTATCTACAAATGTTTTCATAACGACCTGCAGGCTGACATCTACTGTAGGCTACACACAGGTCAGAAAGACGCTGTCCCTAAAGAACACTATGGTCAAATCATCAATAAATACTTAATATATGATATTTTGATAAGGTTACACATGATTTGTTTAACAGCTCGTTTTATGATTTAGGCTATGGGCCTTGATACATTTACAGAAATAATGCAACTTCTTTCAGATATTTTACAATATACACACAAATACTGAAGAGGAATATGAAAATGGGATGCATTTCTTAAACATGGGATATAGGGCTACAAAAGGTGCATGTCCAACAATAAAAGATGATAATATACACTCTAGCCTACACCCAGCAACCTGTTTATTAAAATCTAACTGGGAGAACAAGGGAGTAATCTATGAACAAAATGAATTAGAATGCAGCTACGAAACAAATTATGACAAGGAAAATACACGATAAATCAGGATGTATCCTTCTGGCAACAGAGGTGACTGCCATTTAGGCTACTAGCCTTGTTAAAATAGATATTCATCGCAAGAACACTGTGGAGCACAGGTGAGGGTGAGGCATGGTTGTTTACATCACTTGTTGGGGCAAACAGAGGGGTGAGTCAGACTCGCACCCCCGTCCTCACCCTCAACAAAACAAGCACACACAAAAGCAGCCTACACATACTGTGTTACGGGTTTTGGGCTGTAGGCTAACTGAAATTTTGAAATAATATGACAAACTCTTTATTTTGGATGCAACGCCTGTGGAGAGTCCTACATTTTGTTTGCTCTGTACAAGCAGAAAAAAAGATAATTTAAGTCATTTTCTCATTTTGGCAGTAAAACAACAAAATGACTCTTTTTTTTTTTTTTCATTTCGCCTGATGTCCTCTGAGTGGTGAAATCAAAATATCAAAGGGTACACAGACCATGTTTAAACAAAATTTGGGGTGAGCTGTAGTACCTTGTCATTTTTGGCTCCCTTGGTCAGGTCAAAGGTGGTATAGACTTCAGCGGTGCACTGCTCGCTAAGAGGTGGCAGCTCGAAGGGGACTGGCTCAGCCAGGCCGTAGCTCGCCTTCAACTCCAGCTGGGGTGCCTCAGCTGGGACCTTATGGAAGTATCTGAGGAAATATGTCCAGAATTTAAAATGGAAAGCTCAATCTCTGACACTTACACCATAAAGACAATTAATATGTTACAAATGGGAATGATAGCAGCTACATACTATTATCTAAGTTATACTATTATCTACAGTGAAAGCCAGTGGCGTAACCAAGACAAGCTGATGCTAATCAGACGTTATGATTTTCTGAGACAGATACATACAATAGCAAACAAAATCTGTTGTGTTTTACATGATTTGGGCCTGTATTTATAGTGCATCTGATCAGGATAACTTCACTTGGTGGAAATGCATTACAAGTGAGTTTAAAATAAACATGCAGCTTAATACAGGAAGAGAACTGGCATAAAGCACATTACTGAAATGTTTGAGTCTTATTTTCTGTTACCAGCAACTTTGCCAATAGACATAAAGCCTTCACTTGAAGTAGTGTTGAATTTGGCATGTCTGTTTTCCCACTGTCTAAAACTATAAACTGCAACTGTCAGAAAATCTACAACTCTATAATGTCTGCTTTGCAGCACTGAGTGTAGTAAAACAGTGATGTCACACTTGTTCTTAGGAGAAAGATGCAATTCATTACAAAAATTACTAAATACACTTCCTAGTGTTGAGATTTAAGGTATAAAGTTAACTGTCTTGAGTCATTGTTGCCATCAATACTACCACATGAATGTAACTGTGGATTTTTTTTTGCACATCTGGGGCCATATTCGCAAAACATCTTAAGGTTAAAAGTGGCTATTAGTGGCTGAGATAGGAGAAACTCTTAAAAATAAGGGACAGTCAGTGCTAGCATTAGGACTCCTATGTTTTTAGCCAAAGAGCAATTCATAAACCCTTTTACTTAATTTAACTGAATTTGTATCTCTTGTTCTTTCTTGTTATGTAGTGATGAATATTTTATTTCCTGTTAACTACCACAGACTGGTCACCTGTAAGCCAATTCACCAGCGGCAGGGTGGTAAGATAAGATCCTTTGTGAATACAGCCCCTGAACTGTAAATGCTTCCACTAAAATATGACCCCATTTACCACTTTGTCACAGATACAGTACAGATGTTTCCATCTGAGACCAACGATGCATGCAGCATCTGCATCTACATGCATGACTAACTCACATGAAGCCATTTTCTCTCTGGCACCTCTCCAGTGTGTTTTTAATGAGGCCGCCCAGTTTGAGAAAGAACAGCTGCTCTGATGGTTTGGCTGTGGTGCCCGGGCCTTTGGTCTGACGGTACTCTTTACACAACGCCTCGGCACGGGAGTAACCTAAACACAGTAGTCTTTGTGTTAACGCACAAGAAACCCTGGCGGTTGAGGCACAGGAATCAAGTAAAAAACCATAACATGATGATGTGTGCAAAAGATAGTGCTGCAACACACAGGAAACACCTGTGTCATGACCTAGATACGAAAAATTCATTCTGTTTCTACATGTTACTGAACCCAAGTGGGCATATAATATGTTCTATACTGTCTACCCTAAACTTTTATAACTGCTGCTTTATCTACAAACTAATTGGATACATACTGTATAAGGGTAGTTGCAGAGTGCAGTTAACAAAGACATCTTAAATGCATGTATTCATAATACAAACCCCATTTCTAGAAAAGTTGGGACATTTCCCAAGAACTAAAATCTGAGCACCCCAATAGCAGAATGTTTACAGTGCAGCTCACCATATGCCAGGCACCGTGTGTGTGTGACATCAACAGGCATCAACAACCTTTGTTGCAGGTCTCCCCTTCTCTCTCCCTTATTTCCTGTCTGCCCCTCAGCAATCCACTGTCCCATATATATATATATGTGTGCCTTTGTATTACTTACATCATGAGGACCGAAATTTAGTGATTTCCTTGGAAAGTCTACACTTGATGAATGTAAGTCAATGTAAAGTCCCCACAAGGAATGAAAACACAGCGTGTGTGTGTGTGTATATATATATATATATGAAGGCAAAATTCCCTGCAAAACACCTTTAACTAACAAAAGTACACAGAAAAGGTTGTCAGTGTTTTCACTGACCAATTTTAACTGCATTTTGTAAATATAAACAAATTTAGAAATTGATGCCTGCAACACACACAAAAAAAAGTTGGGAAGGAGGCCTGTTAACCACTGTGTTACATTACCTTTCCTTTAATTACACTTTCTAATCATTTGGGAACTCCGGATACTAATTATTGCAGTTTTTCAAGTGGAATTCTGGCCCATTCTTGCTGGACACAAGACTTCAGATGCTCAACAGTTTGTGGTCACCTCAGTCTGATTCTCCTCTTCATGATGTGCCATATTTTCTCAGCAGGAGACAGATGTGGATTGCAGGAGGCCAGTCGAGCACATGCACTATGTGTCTACAAAGCAGTTGTAGCATGTACAGAATGAGGCCTGGCATCGTCCTGCGGAAATATCTACAAACTTCCAGGGAAAAGATGTTGCTTTGATGGCAGCAGGTCTCTCTAAAATCCCATCATATGCCTCAGCATTGATGGTACCTTCACACATATGCAGTTTACTGGTGCTGTGGCCACTGATGCAGCCCCGCACCATCACAGATGCTGGCCCCTGCACCTTTCACTGATAACAGTCTGGATGGGCTTTGTCATCTTTGGCACAGGGAACCCAACATCCATTCTTCCTGAAAACAGGCTGAAGCACGAACTCATCTGGCCACAGAACATGTCTCCGCTGTCTGTCAGTCAATCTGAGATGAGCTCGGTCCAGAGAACTCAGCAGCCTTTCTGCACGGAACTGATCTATAGCTTCCTGCTAATGTGGCAGAGTTTCAGGCTGCAATTCTGGATGCAGCAGCAGACTGTGTTAAGTGACAATGGTTTTCCAAAGTCCTCCCGAGCCCATGTGGCTGTATTCATCACAGCAGCATGACGTTTTCTCGTGCAGGGCCTCCTGAGTGCTTGAAGGTCACACACATTCAACAGTAGTTTTTTGCCCTTGGCCTTTACGCACTGAGATTTCCTCAGATTCCCTGAATCTTTTCATAATATTATGTAGTGTAGATGGTGAAAGACATAAATTGATTGCAATCTTTTGTTGTGAAACATTCCTGAACCTGCTGATTTTGGAAGAACAGAACAATGTTACTGGAATATTCTATAAACTTATTTGTCCTCTGTCCCAACTTTTTGAGTGTATTGCAAGCACCAAATTCTAAATGTGTTTACATTTACAAAATGAAAAACTAAGTTGGTCAGTGAAAACACTGAAAACCTTTTCTTTGTACTGTTGTCTGTTAAATAAAAGGTTAGAGAAAATGTGCAAATCACAGATTTTACTTTTTATAGCATTTTGAAAATATTCCAACTTTTCTGGAAATGGGGTTTATAACATGCTGTACATATTGTACACTTCTGTATAACATGACTTTTACCTGGTAAGCCACAATAGCTGGTGTAATGGCAGCATTGTGTGTTTACTGGTATAGATAACAACAGTGCAATACAATTGGTATGAGGTTAAAAAATATTTTTAACCATACATACACTTTTCTGCTTCCTGGAGAGATCTTATAGCCTCACCACACTTGTCCCCTGCCAGCAGTGTCTGCCCATGATAGCAGTATGCCTGAAAAGAGTGAATGAGTATAATCATAAGGCAGTGTAGGCAGAATAAACTTGAGTTGTCTTTTCCTTTTCTGTCTTTGTACAGAGGAGAATGCTACATTGAAAGCACACGTATGTCCAGTGAAGTTCCTTTATATAAATATTAGTTAACACACTAATAAAAGGCCTTCATTAGTTTGGATTTAGACCTTGTGAACTGCATTGGAATAAGCAGGGACTTACATAAGCCATGTAAAAGTGCAGCTTCAGCTGAAGATACTTCCTCCACTTGCTGCTGCACTCTGGCTCCAAGGTGTTCAGTGTGTGGTCTGCAGACAAATACTGACCTTTAATAGCTTGTTAGAAAATGGAAACTGCTTCAGTACTGACTTGGTAACTGATCTGACACGTGGTTCATATTCTGCAAATACCTATATAAAGATTAAAAATGGGTATTGTAATGTTTTAAGAAATATTCTGTAAACTGTAAGAGAAAAACACTAACCAGCCTTTTGATAGAAGTTTGCTGTTTCGAATGCCAGGGCTGCTACGAGTGTGGCATTGTGCTTCAGTTCAATCGCTCTGGCAATCGTCACTGTAAAAATTAGAAGAGATGGTTAAGAAATGAAATACAAACACTCAGAGAGCACTCAGTACAATACAGCACTCAGAGAGTGCAGGCCTCTGCCAAGGGCCACTCAGTTTCCCCATAATGCACTTGTCCATTGACTGGTGTTCATATAAACATGAGTTCAGAATAAACCTTTCACAGCCAATCCCTGCTCACAATGATTCCATAGCTAATAAAGATAAATAGACCTCTGTAGTCGAGTAATGAGAAGCTGAGACAAGATAAATTGTTAAGATAAAACATTTTAATATGTCCAAAAGGTCACCAGAATATCAGATAAAAACTTCAACAGAATACATATATAATCGAAATGTGTCTGACACACAAGCTACAGTGGCTAGTGAAAAGTTGAGGTCTGAATTAATTGAATGTAGATACCGTACCTTCCTGTGCTTCTGCCTGGCACTGGATGATGTATGTATCAATCACTCTGGGCTCCAAGTCTCTGCCTTTTTCAGCCGGGGTGATGAGGCGAGGAATGTGCACTGCCTGCGAGAAACACACTAATGCATATTACTTGCTTTTAAAAAGTATCTTTTACGTTATTAGTTGATTATTCATATATAACGTTTTCTGCTTGTGCTTTGTGTTTGAGAGTGTATTAATCTGTCTGTGTGCTGCAGGGAAGTAAAGGAAAAGTGTTGTTGTTTCAGGGCATTTAACAAAATGCCCTTGTTATAGCTTTTTTATGTTTTACACCACTTTGCAAAATGGCATATGCATTGTGGTCACTGCAAAGGAACAGAATAAAATGTACTTTAATCAGTGTCAAATGTCAGGAATTCTCTGGACAAGAGCTTGAGTCCACTGATTAGAACACCATCAGACTAACAGCAAATGATCAATCAAAAACTAATTCAAAGGCCTGATGATTCACACAAAACAAATATCAGTGACTGGTGTATTTGGTTTTCATGCAGAGTACATTATAGAAATAATACAATATTAGTAAAAAAAACAAAAACAGGTAAGACTGGGGGTGAACTGGGATCACAGTGTCAAAATATCCGAGTCTACAGCTCAATTAAAAGCTACCTCACCTTGAGGTTTATGAATATTCCAGCAGCAACCTTCAGGCTCCGGTGAACATCTTTAGCTTCAGGCTCTGTTATGCTATTGAACAGGGAAACATAACAGTATCAAATATACAGTATAATAGAGTAACAAAGCCATGCACAATAGTAACATCTTGGATTAATTAACATATGGCTGATGTAACATAAGTGAATGCAACAACATAGACAGGAAAACCACATACTTTTCTTTCCCAGCTAGTCTCGAGGCAAACTTGGTGTACCAGATGGCTACATTGAAAGCCATCGAGGCCAGTTCAAAGATTGCATCCTGCTGGGCACTGGGACGAGAGCAAGGAGAGACAATGAATTATAAAGAATCACACGCTGGGTGTTCACCTTATTGGGGGCAACTGTACAGTTTAATATAATATAATACAACTGTTCTGCCATAAATTCAACTTTTATGAATGCTTATATTTCTTTCTGGTTTTGACATGGTCATAGAGATAATATGTTAAATGTTTTAGCACTGAGGCCACAGTTAGTGGTGCTGTATTGGAGTACATTATACTGATAAGTGTTTCTAATATTCTACAAAAACAATAAATAAATAAATCTGAAACACTCCTCAATATGATGCAGTGCAGTACAACTGCATGTTTAATCTCAGCAGTAAACATATAACTGAACTGACACATTTCTGACAATGTCATTAAAAACTGAACAATGAAATGCACTAAGGTCAGATGTGACACACTGCTATAAAATATAACAATAATAAAGTTCATTCCTGTGTTTTAATACGTTTTTCTAATTGTAAGAAATGATTGATTCCCCACACAGAATTCCTTCACCTTCCAGTACCCATTGTAAACAGATGTAATATGCTGTTAAGAACAACCACCACTAGCTCTTACCTAATGCATCATTGTATCATTCAAATATGACTGAAATTTCTTTGCATGTGATGGCTCTTTCCACCTACTATGGGAATGGAAATACTCATTCTTATCCTTCTACCTTGGTATGTTTCCTTGTAAAGTATCGGTCCACTTGAAGTTCTGGATGAACCTCATCTTGTTCTCCTGTGTAGTTCCATCCAAGGATATGATAAAGCCTATTGTACCATAAAGTAATATATATTAAAAAAAAAAGCAGCAGCTGTTAGATGCAAAGCAAAAAATCAAAAAAGTCAGTGCAGTGTTAGCAGGCAAAGGAAAACCCCAATTACAATCATTCAACTGTGTTAAATAACAAAGTGCATTTGACTAATGAATGCTTACAAAATAAGTATGCAATTACATTTTTATTCAGTGTTTTTAGGAAACGTGTCCCTCGCCCAAGCATTTGTGCGGACATACTTCAAAACCACCTCCATTGTGCCAGTGCCGAAACATTCCACCCCAACGTGGAATGACTACCGCATTCTACTGCGCACTCAGCACTGCTGTTATTGCACTTCTGGTAATCTAATCTAATCTAAAAACATTCCATGAACAGCATGAGTTTATAGTAACTGGCCTGCTAAAGGAAAAACAGATTCATTTGTTGATATGTACTGTATACATACCTTGCAAAAGGGAGAAGTATGCATCTGTGGCACTTTTCATGATCTCAGGATTGCAGGTAACATCAGTAAACATATCCAACAGTCTCGCCCTGGTCGTCCTTAGATCACTGAACATGTCAAACCATCAACTGCTGTTAACAGATGCTCTAAATGATGCCTATTATTACAGCATTCAGAGTGATTATGAACAGCAAAGCATTGCCAGCTTGTAAGACAAGTAGGTGACAATGATTATATTGACAGCAGTATGCCATTAGTACCATCATTACATTATCTTGACCTATGGTAAAAATAACAGACAAACACGATGTATGTATATATGTACATCTTTAGCTTATATGTATGTATATATGATTATGGTCACAGTCCACTCAGATAAAACTGTTCCCTGTATATTGAGTGGAGATACGACATACTTGCAAATCTTGTTGGCAGCGGGGCTCCCTGCAACTCCATAAAAATTAAACGACACCGGAGCTGTTGCCTTCAGTGGGTTTCTGTGAAACCAATGTGCCATCCTGTGGAAGAGGACACACCTAAAGAGGGTAGCAAAAGTATAGCATGACAGACAATGAATGAGTTCTGTTTCTGGTGTTAATACATTTTGGATGTATCAGAATGGATGAGCTCCGGAACAGCTACATTTAAATTAGATTTTTATTGACCAGGCAGCATTAGATAGCTTTTGTGTCATCTTGGCTAACGTCATTTTACGCTACAACTAGCTAGCGGTTGTGTTGACACACTTGCCGAACAATTTGTGCCACTTTCCACAGTTGCTGCAAATTTGATAGAAACCCCCCGACGTTACTTTGAGTTGCTGCGAATGATGCTTTGATAATCTGTTTGTCTAATTTAACATTAGGCTAAAGACAATTACGTAAGCTACGGGGAGCAACAGCTAACGGCTAAGTATGGCTACACCTACAAACGTAAACTGAAACGGTAGGATTACTGACTTATTATACAGCAAATAAAAAAATAAATTGACCATTTAAATGTGTTACAATTTTACCATTTACCTGCCGATACGCTACTAAAGATTTGATGTTTGACAGTCCTTATGGAAAGTCTGACACTGTAAGTTACTTCCGGAAATAAAGACGGAGCAAAGCTGACCAATGAAAGCACACGGTTTTGGTCACATGACGTGTGACTTGCCATACCTCAGATGAAGCTTCTAGCAGGTGTATTTTTGTTTGAGTGTATACTGTTCAGTGGCTGAAACGGGCCTAAACATGTCATTAAATGTCTATTTCTAACAGCACTCTGAAATTCTATCTGGACGGAGCGTTTTGTCGTACTAATTAACTTGATGTTTTATTAAAGAGCTCTCATAATTCCCTAATAATCTCTTATATGTAGCTCCTGAAACTATGAAATATGGTGTTAATTATACTATTGTTCTCATAATGATTTAATTTGTTTTGCTGAATTCATTAGCAGTTACAGACTTTTCTAAAAATTTCCTTAAAAGGCCTGTTAAAATCATGAATGACTGGAAAACATGTTTGTATCTTTAGGTACCAGTTATCTAATGAGTGAAAGGCTCGATAGCCAGTGGTATTAACTTGAAGTGTTCCCAGTGAGCCCTGTTTTAGTTCTGACCTATTTATACAGTTATTTCCAGGAAACCTTCCCACAATCACAGAGTTAGGTCCTTTCATCCGTGACAATGGAAGAGCAGTTACGTTTACAAAGAGCAACTTAGTTTATTAGGTCACATTCATTTCACATTTATTAACTATAAATCTCCATGAAGAGCACTGAGGTGAACCAGTATCAGGTTAAGGCACTTATCTAAGGCCAGGGACACCTGGTACATGCAAGATGCCACAATGATGAAATACATGAATTATAATACAATTATTGCATGATGAGGATTTACTTGTGAAATTATCATCCACATTCCATTTTCACTCCACATATAACACATAAAGACACCATAAAAATAAAAAACTAGGAGGACAAACAGGAGTCTCTAGCTTTGTCCTAGGTCATACAAGTACTCGTAGGTCAACAACAATGCTGCCACTGTTCCTTTAAAAATCTCTTTCGGTCAGCTGGAAGGCAATAGCAGCAGCATCAGCATCAAGCTTGTGGTACTTGGTCAATGATGTACATTGTAAACAGGCAAATTCAGCCATAGTGGGATATTTTGCAACTACTGGATGAAAGAAAAGAACACATCTGTTCTTCCTTTTTCTAAAATCTGAATGCAATTCATTTTGTTTAAATGTGATAGTTACACCCCAAAATCAACATTAACAAAGGTGCACAGTCTCTGA